AAAAAATACAATAAATATACCTTTAACTTATATCTGAAGACAAATACTAATACATTTTTTTAAAATTTAATTATTTTAATTTTATAATTAATTATATGCTCTAAAAAAATTAAATGTAGACAAGGACTAATTGAATTGTTTTTAAAATTTTTATTCAAATGGTACAAATTAAAGTGGAACCCATGTATTTCATGGATGTGGCGAGTAAATGTGTAAATAAGGATTCCAATTTTGTACTTTTTTTATTTAAAGATATTAACTTTGTCAGTTTTTAAATAAGGATGTCAACTTTTAATTTTTTTCTAAATAAGAATATTAACTTTATCAGTTTCTAAATAAGGTAAAGGGCAATTATTAATATCTTGTAAGGTAGAGGGCAAAAACCCTCAAGTTCGAAAAGTTAAAGGGCAAAGTATTGGTTTTAGCCAAAAAAATTGAGATAAAAAGGGAAAACAAATAGCCAAGAGCTAGAAATCTAACCGTTGGTATTGAAAAGGCCATTGATCCAACGGCTACAAGAGTCAACGGTGCGTCAGCGCCCTAAATTATTACTCTCTTTATGATAGACGCTTTTTTCTTATTGTTATCTTGATATTAAAGAATTGGGAATAATTTTTTATTTTACTTATTTTATTTTAAAAAATAAAGAATTTTTTATAATAAAATAAATAATTAAAATTTAAAAATAATTATAAGGTTAAATTAAAAAAGATACTTATTTTTTTAAAATTAAAAAAAATTATTATTTGTAAATTAAAATTTATCTAATACTATAAGATGAAAGAAGTATTTTTTTTGCCCATTTAGGGCAAAAAAAATGACTGCTCTGTTTCTCTCATTACTCCAATAATGCTCGGTTTAATTCAATAATTAATTTATTAATTATCAATCTAATTTTATCTTAGTTTAAAAATTTTTTTTTATGGCATGTAAATTTTATAAAATATTTCAAAATAATTGATTATACAAAACTTTCGATTAGTTTTAATAGAAAGATGATGAAAACACTTAGGCAAAAAGTAACAATTAAGTTCCAAAAGTTTTAAAAATTAATGGATAACTTTGCTACATATTCCATTACAGTAAAAAAAAAAAAAGGGCGTAAGCCTATATGCGTTTTGAGAGCGACGTAAGTCCAGAAAATTCAACTACTAACTAGTACCACCTCCTTTTTTAGTTTTTTCCATTCCACGCACAAAACGCGTATAAGCTCTCTCTCGCTCTATTTTCTCTTTGAACAAACGTAATTCTGGAGAGTAAAAGCGAAAAAAGACGTTTAGGGCCTGTTTGCTTATCTTAAATTTCGAAGGAAGAATTTAGTGTATCTAATTAAGAATCAACTCGACTTAGTTAGAAAAATAAATTTTTTAATATGAAAAGTAAAATGTAATATAAATAATTATAATAAATTAT